CAAACAGCATAAGAAAGGGAGCATGGGCCACGAGGAAAGAATGGGCTTGGCAAACAGGATGTCAAAATTAAGAGAAAGTGAATGGGAGAGAAATAAAGAGAACAAGAATGAGTGAGAAAGAACAAGGGAAAAGGAGAATAAAAGAGAGTAAGGAGAGCAGCAAGGGGAAAAAAGGCATGTGATTCTATGATTATCTAGATGGGGAAAAAGAGAAAGAAAGGTTTCAAGAAACAGTGCAAGGTCACAGGAAAGAGGGTGAGGTCACAAGAATGAGCTGTCAGAAAGGGTGTGTGGATGTGAGGAGATGCTTAAAAGTGCAACAAAAGGAGTGAGGTTGAGGGAAAGGGAATGAATGCACAGAAGTGCATTGTTGTACATGGGACTGCACGAGTTCATGTGGGAGAGAAATTGAGTGAGGGAGAGCTAGATGGTGAGGAGCTGGGCAGAGTTAGCAAGGGCCTGCAAGAAAGGGCCTGTAGGCCTGCCCTTTGCCCCCAAGATTAATGAGAGAAAATTATTTACAGATTTGAGCTCATGCAGACTAAGAATTTATTCAACTCTTTAGTGATTCTGAGCACATTAAACAGCACAAGGCAATGCGAGAGATAACAGGAAAAAACAGCTTAATTCTGTAGTGCCTGCTACTTTTCCTTTATGGCAGAAAAGATCCTAATTCAGAGCTAGAGGAAAATAATTGCATTTCTTTACTTTGCATGTTATTTCTATCATCGTGTGCAGAGACTACGTGGATCATAAGGTGGAGAAAATAACAGCTGTTTTAGTTTATAACTTTAAATGTAATACATTTTATACTGAGTTGTCAGCACATCTTTCAATCAGCTATCAAAACAAAACACATAACGATTTCTATGCTACTGAAAATCACTAAGACTATTAGACTTTCATTCAGTTCTTTATGTTTCACTAGCAAAACTGGTAGCTAAAAAGCTACCGTATGGAAGAGAAATAGACAAATGTAAGGAAACCTATTTGGCTTACACCAAATTGGTGCTCAACTTGAATATCTGATCCGAGTCCGTGTAATTAGGAGTGTTGTTTACTTTCCCTAGCTCCCTTCTCTCATAGGTTTCTGACATATTTGATGTTGGCAGTGCTTCAGCATTGGAAATTCTTCCCTGTCTTCATCACTTCCATTGCTAGTAATATTGTTCTCTATCAAAGGAGGTTGTAATTATCCTTTAAATATCACTTTCTATAAGAAGGGGTCTTTTGTTCCTCACATACCCACTTTCTGGATATGGAAACTTTCCTGAAATTCAGTTTTTCTTTGAACCAGAAACATATCTGGATATACCACTCTTAGCAAATTAAATTATGGACAAGAATGATCCAAGGCACTGTAATGTGATCCTGTGCACTGGTGTCCCCTTGCCAGTGCAGTCCCTTGCTCACACTTGTCTTATGGCAACTAAAAAGCAGCCAGGCTAGTCCTGAGGACAGTTCTTGAAACACCATTGGGGGAATACTCAACAGTCAGGTTGTATGCAGCCACTTTGTTTTGCAGAGTTTGAAGGAAAAGATCTATGTTATTGGGTACCAAGAAGTCTCAGTATCTGGACATACTCCTGGATATGTGTACCTTTTTTCAGAGCTGTGGTCTTTGTCTTTCTTGTGGCTCCAAAAGTAGAGAAATAACTAAAAGCCCGTAATCTGTAATCAGTACATGTTCAAAGGGGATCCCATCAAAGAGAATATTCTGCTGTTTCCTGGGAGAATGCTACCAAATAAGTAATAAAAGTATATTTTCTCAGAAGAAAAAAACCAGCCAGGCCAGGATTAATTAACAGAGTGTTCCAGGTGAACTGATGCTAGCAGCTGAGTGTTGATGTTAACTTAATGATTAAAGACTTGATACGAGAAAGTATTAGAGGAAGCATATCTACTTTAATTGAAGGACTATAATAGTATCTTCTCTTTCTCAGATTTGTAGGATGCTGTTATTTAGTAGACAAGCTATCAAAACAGATAATTTGGAGACATAACATCTTGCAATTGATACAAAAGCACTGCTTGATTTGGGCATCTCTCTATATACTGTCCAAAAATGTCAAATGATTAAATCAGAATAATACTGTCTTATTACAGTAATTTAATCATTTGACATGCTAAGCACCCTACAGTGGAAAAGACACAACAAATTTGGTGTCTAAGGTTGATACTTGAACATAATATGTCTACAAAAACTGAGACAGTTATATTTTAGGCTGTTCCATGAAATGGAAAAGGGACATAAGGTTTTGAAGGAAAATTTAATTTTTCTGCAGATTTCCTTAGACTAAGGTAAGGAATCCAGTGCAAAGTTGATCTCAATTTACAAGCCAAATCACTCTGAAATTAAGTCAAGATAAGATGTACTGCTGAGGAAACAACCCATGCTGGAGCACCACCAACAAAAACAACAATGATAATAATAATAAGATCTGGAGATCATTGGACTCCCACAGCAACAGGCAGGGATAATTTCTGTCTGCTTCCCTTGGAAGTGCAGAGTACCATCCAGGCTGACCAACTGCTCACAGCCACCTTGTGAATCTTGACTGTGTTCAGCCTCCTTGACATCACTTGCAGGACGGGCCTGTCACATTGGGTTTCTTATGCGAAAAATCTGTCTCAGCAGTTTTTACAGGTCCAAAAGCAAATCCAAAGAAAGTCAAATCTGACTGTATGAACCAGTCTTGTTCCTTTAATTACACTTATTCCACCACTTTGAATCTGCCAAAAGCATACCTTTAAACAAAACATTCTTGGCATTCCCTAAGATTATAGCTTACTTTATTCAGTATGCTCAGTAAGGGAGAAAATTATTGTTCAGCCTATAAAATTATTGTTCAACCTATAAAACCTAAGTATTCATGTGTACATAGACACACACAAGCACACACTCACTGCAGGCAGTCTTCTCAATCTATGTGAGGAAAACATTCATGAGATACCATTTTTGCAAAACTCTTTCTGTTCCATTTGCCAGCAGTCAGAGAATCTCTTCTGTGTTTTCAGGTTCAGTACTTATTCCAGTATTCACTTGGTATAAATCAGAAGTGATTTCAGTTGATTGGTGTCCTTTTACATCTGCAAAACAGCTGGCTCCTCTAGAGTCTTTTAACGTTGTTTTGAAACCTAATTATTTTGTTATTATGTGTTATCTTTGACTTGCCTTTCTTGAAGAGAAAAATATCCTCCTATCTTGTTTGCTAGCTCAACCACTGTGCTGCCAGCCTTTTCACAGCCACAGACTGACATGGTAAAAGTAGTCAGTGTACTTACTTGGGTCACTAGCTCATTTCTCAGCTAGACAATCTGATCAAAGAAAGCAATTGCACTATGTTGCATGCACAGGGAGGAGTACGCAAGGCTCTGATTTTTATGAAATACAGATCCATGCTAGTGACTTCTGAATTATCTTTAGATCTTGATAACTTGTAAGATGTTTTGCCAGCTGCTCAAGAGATTACCGCAACGGACAGAATGGCTCCCATGGAAAGCTTGTAAAGAAAGGAGGTTATCTTCTTAGAAGCAATCTTTAAACAGAACTAATTATTTCCTTACAGAAACTATTGTGGCAGTAGCTTTCACTTGTCTGAACCATCCATAATTACTGCCCTCAGCATGTCTCTCACAGAAACTTTAGTTGCTTACCACCCTACAGAACAGGGAAGCTGTGACCTGACTTGCTCTCGCCCACACTTGCTCTATCCCACATTGTATCTATAAGCTGATTTCTCAACTGATACAGCGAGCAATACATACTTAAAAAGTGAACTATGCAGAAAGCGAGAAGCTGCCCCAATGGAACAATACAAATTTAATAGAATAATTCTGACCAAAGAACTGCAGAAATGAGTGTTTTCAAGCTGTTACAGACTGTACCAAAAAGCCATTGCTAACTTTGAACAAATTCACAGACACATTAAGCACATCAAAAGTGTCCCTGAATTCACGTGGAATTATTTTTTTATGAAGGGACATTTGTCACAGAATTTCAGTATATCACTGCACTTTAAGTACTCCAAAACAGTTTTTAATCCTTACAATCTGGAGAGCACCCATACTCTGTGCTTAGATAGCATTAGCAACCAGTAACAATGGTACACAAAACGGTTCCCTTATTTGAATTTGTATCAGTGTGGTTTTAATACTGATCTTTATTTTTCTTTTTAAACACATGGGGAAGATACACTAAACATCTGTACAACAGATGAGAAAAGGGGCCAACAGATCTCCTTTGCTGTATAAATACAGCAGATATACTCACCTAATTACCACTACTAATACTGAGCATTGGTACTGGCAGATGGTTAAGCTCTGAAAACAGAAACAGTTTCTGTGGATTTCCTATCCTCATTTACCTGTTCATTCTGACCAATTGTCTTGGAGTAAGAAAGAAGGACAATTAAAAAAAAAAGAGAGAGAGAGAAAAAAGAAAGAAAGAAAAAAACAAAGAAAATCTGGAGGCGGTCTTAGATTCTTAGATCAACTCTTCTGTCCTTGAGTACATAACATCATATGAGTGGATCAGCCCAGATGGCTATGTATTCACTCTTGACTACCAGAAAACTAAGGCTTGAAAAGTTCTAGCAGTTTTCCCAGACTACTATAAAAGGAAATCAAACACCACTATCTCAAACAAAATAGCGTAAATTATAGCTTACATATATCTAGCAATTTTAAGACACATGAGATGTTTCACTGTGCTGGGTCAAATGCTTCATGTTTAAATCTGCAGATTTTTGTAATAGTCTCAGCACACAGCATATTTATAATATTTTTTTCCTTCATCTTATTTTCACTGAATCATGATCTGTTATGTATAATTTCTCATACATAGTCTTTCCTCTATACTAGAGGGTCTCACTGTCATTACACAATCCTTGCACAACTGGTGATGTAAAACCTTGATTTTTTTCCTTCCATACACACCCACCAGTTCAGATTAACAATTCAGCAACCCAGTAAAGAAAAATGTGTGGTGGTACACTTACCAGAGAGAAACAGAAAAGATTCATGTTGCTACTGAGATCCACTCCAGCACCCCAAAATTCTGCTCCAGAGAAGTGCTGCTGCACAATGCAGTTCCTCCTCACTCTCCCAGCTGTTTGTACATTTCTCCCTGGAGATTACTGCAAGATAAAATCCCTGCAATAATCCACTGGATTCAGAGCCCATTATCAAATGAGACAGGCTTTCTCAGGACAGTACAAGCAGTTTTCTGAATTAATGAACAACGTTTACCCACAGAACAAAAGCATGGTCTGAATGATTATGATGGACTCGGGATATGTTCTCTTGCAGGCTGTTGTTTCCATTTAGTTTCTAGTGTAATGGAAATAAAATTACTTATGCTTAAGGCCACTGGAACATATAGCTAACTCCAAAGCAAATCTTCTTATTGTGCTCCAAAGACACAAAAATTCTTGGACAGTCCTACATTTCTATGCAGATAAACTAATTTATAAAATACAGCAGCTATTGTTGACTGCATTTTGAATGGAAGCATCTTACTTATATACCTTAAAAAGAAACCCACATGCCATGATCAAATTATTAAAAAAAAAAAAAAAAAAAAAAGTACTCCATTTGGGGCTGTACACAACTGAATAATTACCAAACCTGTCACTGTGTTGACTGCTTGACTATGCAGATTAGGACTAAAACAAATTTGCTATTAGAAAATATGTCAAATTTGAAAAATTAAAAAACTGAACATATTCAAAGCTGATTTATGGGTTATAATGAAAGGCATTATAGTATATACAGGAAAGCAGATGAGAGATAAGAAATTGGAAATAAAAGCAGTAGCCTATGTGATTAAATCAACAAAAATATCATTATGTAAATTGACAAAATACTACTAGACAAAGGAATTCCTATGTATTTCTCTGATATGGAGTAGAACTATAGTCTGAGAAAGAAATAAAGACATATAGATTGTGCGTCTCAAATTGTTTCAGATTACAAAACACACAGAATTATATTGTTCATGGAATAATGTTCCCTCCCAGTTAATTTCCCACAGCTTACATGTGAACATAATGCTATTTGGTTACATGAATAAGCAGTAGCTGATACCAAAGAGCCAAGCAGAACTTTCCTCAAAATGAGAGATACTCTGAGATACTTTCATTTTGTGACCAAGAACTCAGTTTCCTTTTTCTTATTGTATTCACTAGAAATTTGTATTTATAAATGTCAAATATCTCTTTTATTGCTCATACCTCTCACTACACTGGTTTGTTCCAGTCATTTTGCAGTCTGATTCTGCACTGTAGTGAATTCAAAGCCCCCAGTTTTAGCAAGATAACTAAATTTTAACATATTCTCTATCTGAAACAAAACCCAAAAAAGACTCTCATAAAGGCACTGAAGGCAAACACAAGATGATTCACAACTTCATAATGAGAAGATCTTCAGTTTGTGCTTCACCTGTTTGCTGTGACGCACATAGAAGTCTTGAAGGTTTTTCCCAGGCTTCCTTTGCAGTTATAATTTTAGGGATACTAACAGAATTTGCTACCACCAAGTGACACTCCCCTAACATGATTACGAACATGTATGAGAGTCTTGGCTTACCACAGATGGGCTTACATTTGGTTTGTGGCTCACTCGTCTCCTCAATGGAGCAGACTTTGGTCATTCCTGTTCCTCAGCTTCTTCAGGTGAAAAAAAATGAAATAATATCAAAAACTTCTTGTGCAAAATACTATAAAAGAATTGCGATCTATGGTGGTGAACATGCTTTAGCAGGGGAATTGGACTTAATGATCCCCTGAGGTCCCTTCCAACCCCTAGAATTATGTGATTCTGTAATGATGAAAAGCACTATGACCCAATTACTCGTAAGATGACAAGATACACTATGGAATCAAACCCCAAGAAACTCAGGAGGATGTGTTTTTCATTCAGACCGGTTTAATCTCTGGATTTGGGCGTTGAGCTTTTGTTTTGTTTGTTTGTTTTGTATGTGTTTTTTTGTTTGTTTGTTTGTTGTTTGTTTGGTTGTTTTGAAAGGGCTATGCATATTTACTTCCAAGCACTTAGGATGCAGATTTTATACTACCTAGATCCTCAAAGTAAGCATAGCTAAGAGTCTGGATGTTAAACTGAGTTATTCAGTTTACATTTTGCTTGTATGAACAGACACACTGAAAAGAGCATAGCTGAAGATAAAAAAAACAAAGATGAAAAACAGCCTGTATCCATGCTTACAAGCATACACATGTATGGCAAGAAGTACTATAGCAAGGCAAAAATGCAGAGCTGTACAAGGAAATATTTTATAAAGAGAGATAAATGTTCATCTGGTAACTTTCTAAGGCATTGGGCCAAATCTTGTTTCAGTTGTTCTTGATTCACCATTTAGACAGGTGCAATTCATCACATTAAGCTTGAAATCATGTGAGCTAGGCACTAGTCCACTAAAGTAAAATGTAAAAAGCAGAAGCAGACTTTACTCAAAAGCAAGCTGGAGACTGAAACCAGAAGTCATCCAGGTTTAGATTCTGAAAACATGCCTACTGAGTGCATGACCCAGATGGCCTGTATTCCTTCATTCCTTTCTTCATTCTCCAAAAGGCAGATCTCCAACATTCAATTCCTCTCATTTCATGTCGTGGTGGATTAATCCTTCAGTTTCCAGGTGTACCAGCTATCTCTATATATCTATATTGAAAATACTGTAGTACTGAGTTAAAGTTATTCATTTTGGGTGTAAAATATTGTTCAGTATTGTAAAAAAAAACAGTTCAAATATCCTGCTTAAGAAGCAGAGATAATTAAACCTCAAAGTTCCATTCTGTTACGGTAAAGCTTTACAACTAATAGCCTTCAATAAAGATTCCAAGGGGGATGCCAAAGCACAGCTACAGATATTCTAGATACTAAACCAATAAGACCCCTAAACAAAAGACTGCAAACTTATTATTACATGCTTTTAAGTAATTATAGGTGACTCTTACAAAAAGTTAACATTTTAGACCTATGCTAATTCACTGATACTGCCATCTGTAAGGGACAAGTTGATATTTCTTAACTATAGATGGCATTACTCATCAGGTTCCTTTACTAGACTAATGGATAAATTAGCAACTGTGAGGAATCATCTATTATAATAACTAAAATAAGGTGCAGTACCTTATAATTTTGTTGGTCAGGATGGATAATACAAAAAAACACTCAGCATGAGTTTTTAATGATTCTCGACACCACAGCTGCCTCTGTAAAGAATCTGATCTTTATAAAGAAAAAACAAACAAGCAAACAAAAAAAAAAACCCAGAGAGTAAAAAGAACAAAATAGAAGGTAAAATCAGTGTTTTTAATTTTATCTGGCATAAATAGAGCCATTTGCTGCAGCAGCAATGCAGTGTCTGATGCACAGACTCAGATGTGAACGATCCAAATCGTTTATTACAAGTTCTCACAACACTTATGTACCTTCACAAGTTTTCTTTTTCTAGCTTTCCCATCTACCCCTACAACTTTCCCATACACCTTTACATGTCACAGAGCATTCTACAGAACATTCTTCAACTGTTCACACAGGCGCTTATCCAATCAGAGCCGTGAGACGTTCTTTCATCTTCTAGAGGTGTCCTTGGTTCTCATGCTGTTTATCTTGCTCCACAGCTGCAGCTCTGAACAGTTTTTCTTGTATTCCCACACAGCAACACACAGAACAGCAAAATCACATGTTAAGAGAGGTAGAGAAATCAGTTTCACCAAACACGAACCATGTGAAACCTTCACTTTCTAACTCTAATCTTGCACTACAGTTATTTAATTCTCTTTATTCACCAATCCATGGTTTCTAAACAGTTGGGATTTACATTTACACAAGTTGTTCAAACACCACTAAAAAATAAAAAATGCCTACAAATTGAGACTTTCATATACTGAGGTTTCTATTCCTGCACAATGGAAAAATTGCATAGCTGAGATCTCTGGGCATCCTTGGTCTCTTCAGAAGGCTTGGTATCAGCTGTGTATTCACAGTAAGTGGCAACATATAATCTAGCCTGTCATACAAGTAGTCAAGGTCAAGCTATGAATCAAATACCTAAAATTCAGTCTTGGCTGCAGGCTCCTAGACATATGCTAGCCATTCTGCTGGTGCAGTTTCATCTGTCACTGTGAGAACCCACCAGCAGAGTTTTGTGACTCACAAATTTATTTGGTTTTCTGGACAAATAACCCCCCCCCCCCAGAAGAGTATGTACAATAATAGTTAACCAGACACATTTCAATAAGCCTGGCACTAATTATCTGTTTCTTCCCCCTTCTTTTTTTTCTCTTACAGCACACCTATCCTTAATGAAAATGCATCTACTTCTCTGATCATCACCTATTTTTTATCTGAGCATCTCCACATAGATTTAAAATGAA